ACTGATGAAGTTGTTGAGAGAAATTCAGAAACAAATGGGTATTACTCAAGAATCACCAGTAGGCATGCTTCACTTTCTTCAGTCCTGGTGGCTTAATTCTTAACGAAATCTTAAAACAGATTCGGAAAACCCAGTTAGCGTTTACCAACTTGCGTCATTCATGACATGTGATTCCCGTCATCCAACTAAATGGCTTATACTGAGCAGCAGTTATACTCTTTTCCACCTCATGACAGGCGTGATTCATAAAAGTAGGAACTATGCGTAGGCCAGTCTTTAATTCTAAATATGTTCACAGAATTGCTCGTTTTTTGTGGACCAAGTAAGCAATGTTAAGGTTAAGTAATGGGTACTTGAAATCGGTGGTAAATCTAATGTGGCTGTAAATCTTCATTAGTTGAAGTAGTTGGAAAGTGTATCACGTACGCCAATCCACCACTTCCCTCGGTACAGGATGTTGTCTGGTGTAGGAATAGGTTGGAAGAAGACTAAGGGAGGCCAAACTAAAACGTAGCCTCTAGGTATGAAGTTATTGACTGTTGGTCTGAGTCATTTTGATAAATGCTAACAATCTGATTGTATTCTGAGCAATAACTATCATCAGTGGTTAGACGTTTTGTGATATAACTTTGAGTCATTCTCAATGGTTCAGATGCATTCTCGATTTTAAATCCCAGTATTCTACGTTTACACTTTTACACTCTGTTTTTTAGACCATATCCCGAATATTAAGTCTTTCCCATCATTGCCAAAAAATCATCTTGATCTCTTTTGTTATGTTCATTTGGTTGTACTAAGTTGCTTATGCTAAGTATGGGGACTTGGGCTAATGCACATCTGTGCCGGGCTCTACGTTCCTTATGCCTATCTGTCTATGGCAGGATTTTCTATCTGAACGGTTTACCTAACTAGGAAATTAATCAGCTTGGAGTTTATTGTGTTCATATCAACGACATTTTGGCAGTCTAATAGTCAAATATAGATTAGAATCTGATAACTAGTCTATCACGTTCATTTTATATAAAAAATTTGCTGATAGAATCTCGTGTTTAAATGCTCTGTTGATAAGTAGATCAGGTAGAACACTTTAAAGAAGTGTTGATATAAAACCAACTTCAATATCATATAGACTCATTTTAATATTCTGTAACTCTCTGGTACAAAAGAGCAGAGCGAAGTGTCTGCCATATCTTGTTAAGCATATTTGTTCTGATGAAATAATTAAGGGAACAAATAATGTGAACTGATATCTAGTGAAATTTACCGAGAGAAATACGATTCGAACCAGGGGAAAGCGGATAAAGTTTATGATTCGTCCATTAATTTTCTGATTGCTGCCTCATAGTAGTAATCAGGTTTATATCTTTTTCTCCTCCTTACAGATGTTTCTGAGGGAAACGTTCTACCTATTACGGTAATTAATTTGTTATTTAAACTATAATGTGTTAGAAATCGTGTAAGCCCCCTGTTGATCCTGTATATAAACCAACCCCTATCAGTATTTTGGAAAAAAGGAATGAAAATTCACAGAAAAATGACGATTGTTCGCAAATTGCTTATGATGAATCCATTCCTGTTTATCAACCAACTCCAATAAGTGAATTGGAAAAATATGCACCTAATTCGTTGTCTGGCTATGGATTTTCTAAGGGATTTATCCCACAAGATCAACCATCATATTCTCCTGTAGTAAAAATAAAATCTACGGCATCGCCTTCTCCATTTCTATATCAACCTTCTCCTGTGGTTACAGAATCATCCACCCCTTCATTTTCCAAAGAAGTTATTGACATTAATGTAGACTCGAATGAGGATGCTCCTGCTTCAGTTATTGTTGAAGATAATCCTAGTGATTTGAAAACTGTATCTGTGACTGAAAATGTCCAGAATTCACGGGCGGATAAGCTAACAACTAATCCATTACCTATACATAGTGGAAAATCGAAGCGTAGAGTGAAGCCTCTCAAAAACAAAGAAATAGCTATTCCCAGTGAACTAAATATCACTCAAACTAGTGACAGAAAGTCTGCGGATACTATAAACAAAGACAATGAAGATGATGAAAACTGCACACTGTCTAAACGTCAAAAAATCTTATCTCTTTATCAAGACTTGTATGGTGATACTGATAAAGATAGCTCAATGAACAAAAGCAGTCTTCCTAAAAATGTTTCAAAGTCTTCTTCACTTATTCCACCATATATGGGCCCAGTTTTGAAAAAGCCTGAGCTGACAAGTATGGATAAAAAGAGTGACAATGTAAGCTTAACTTATATGTCTATAAAACGTACATGTTATTTATACTAATGCTTGTTTGCGGCTTCTGTAAATTAATTAGTGTAATATTCGCTAAGTTGGATCGTATTAATTTAATTTCACTGTTTGCTTAAAATACGAGTATACTCTTATAATTATGGCAAATACCTATCCATTTTCATGTACAGGTAGAGCAATTTTTACTAGATAGTTGAATTCTTATGGTCTTCGATACTGAGATTGTTAGGTTAAGCTTTTTAACAGTGACTAGGTGTCACTAGTTACTTTTTTCCTTGTTATAACAGGTGGTTAATGATTTTTTCTGACAGCTTACTATCCAGGTTAACTAAGAGTGTTTGGATGTAATATGTTTGGGCTGAATCTCCTTGAAAGCGTCTACCTACAATAAAAATTATTTCAGGTATAAAATCACGTAACTGCATGTGAAATTTTCTGAAAAGCTATAGAATATCGGTTATCATTTATCACATAAAGTATCTGTAGATACTTTGTCTGTATTTGGTATATTAATTTCAAACTAATTGACCGATTTTCTACTGTTTTGGATTTGTCATATAATTGTTTATTTTTGAATGTATTTTTGTGATAATCAGATTATGTTAATTTTAACCCATTTAATAGCACAGGTTTGAGTCAGTCAGTCAGTCAGTCAGTCAGATGCAACGTAAAACTTTGTACGTAAGTACATCAGTTCATGTTGCCATACCACATCAGCACAGAGATATAATTGTCAATTCAAATCCAATAGTAGTAGAGGTAGTAAGGGAATTAGAAGTAATTGGAGAGGTTACGGTTAGAAGATACTATTCAAGAACTATGATTCAGTGAGAAAAGTTTAGAGAGTCGAAACTAGAGGTGTTGAAGAATCCAGAAGATTAGGGTTTGAGAGAACACAAAGAATAAATGCGCCGGCGCCATTGCGAACGATTTTGAGCCATGTCATTCAAGGTCTCTAACCATCGATTATTATCATCTCGCGGACCCCAACCAGGTAGTCGACAATTACCAACATGGTTCAGTCCACTAGTCAATGACTTCATGGATTTCTGCCATGTTTTGGTCTGGCCGCGCCTAACTTTCTTCCAATCTACTCCTACACTACAAAACAAAGTTCGTCGAGGCAGTCGGTGGTTCGGCATACGCAACACATGTCCCAACCACCTCAACTGATGAAGTTTCACCACTTCATCGATTGATCTGCCGTCCTTGCCTAGTGCTCGTTTCCTAACGACAGCATTGCTTACTCGGTTGTCCCACGGTATACGAGCAATGCTTCGAAGACACCTATGATCGAAAACCAGTAACCTACGAATATCTTCTACTCTCACTGGCCATGTTCACAGCCATATAGGAGAACGGAGCGAACTGCTGCACAGTACACTCGTCCTTTGATTAGAGAACGGATACCACGCCTACGCCATAAGTGACGCAGGTTGGCAAAAGCCATTCGAGCCTTCTGTATCCGGGCTGAGATTTCGTCAGTCACCAGGCCTTCGGCACTGATGAGACTCCCCAGATAAGTGAAGCGGTCTACACGCTCGACTACTTCACTCCTTATCACTAGTTCAGGTGCCGATGAAACCCAATCTTGAAGCAACATTTTGCATTTCGAGGGGGAAAACCGCATTCCGAACATGCTTGCATTATTGCTTAGGGTAGTCAGAAGACTCTGCATTTTGTCAGCGTCTTCACCAAGTAGGACAATGTCATCGGCATATTCTAAGTCAATAAGCGAGCCACCTGGTAAAAGGTCTACTCCAGAAAATTCAGACGAGGATAATGTTATGTCTAGGAGCATGTCTATGATAAAATTAAACAAGAATGGAGAAAGTGGACATCCCTGACGGACACCACTTGATGTAGAGAATTCCGGCGACAGTTCGCCAAGGGACAACTGATTGAGGCCGGTCACGCACGGCCTTTTTATGAAAGGATTTTTGAGTATTAGCTCCGCTCTTTCGAAGCTCTTATTGGGCACTCTTACCGCCGGAGACGGAAATCCATGAGATAAGGTGAGGTGTGACATTTTTAGGGTCGACCTTTTGTAACCCTTCCTTCCTTGTGAGAAGGCAGCATCGCTGCAGATGCTGGTTGTCCGAGGGAAACACCTTACTGCTGTCACACTCCTTTGCAGTCAGCAGTACGACTTCGCCCTCAGACCTTGAGTAGCTGCTTTTAGTTTCATCGTTCTCCAATCGACCTGTAGGAACATAAGTTGCAGCCAGTATAGCTCGGTTGGGTCATCACGAAAGGCAAGCCTGACCACCACGTCAAGGTAGCAGCTACGGTCGGGTATAGGTTTGAGTGCTACTAAACTTTAAGCCATACTTTATGCGAGGCCGTTTGGTCTTACGTGATAGCCTAAACTGAGTGGTCCAAACCTGCTGTTGACTGTTAGCTACAATAATGAAACTGCAGTTTTATGTATGTTGAATTTATTTTTGTTACTTCGACATTTAGTATAGTTTGTGCTTGGAGAACAGAAATTCCAGCTTAAATAGTTAACGTAATGTAAAGAGAGTTATGTTGACTGTTAGGTGGTCAGTGTGCACAACTTAATGTGGCTAGGTATGACGTGGTGTTCAGATAAATATGGCTCAGTAATGTCGGGTACTTGAATTTCAGTTATGAGACCATTGGACCTCATGTATTGCTTATTGTCTAATGTGTACCAATGAACTTATGCATTAATATTTCTTTATTAAATTGTTTTCAAACTTTAGGTTGTTACTTCAGGAAATGTACAACATGAATATATTGCAAGACCTCGTATTCCACTACGCAAAAGTGATAAAATTCCTATGCCAATTAGAACTCGCTATTTAGATCAATTCATTGAAGAGTGTCTTTTAATATATGACCATCCCTCTGATGCATACAAGCGTGTAGGTTTAATTCACCTCATACGATCATTTGACGTTAACAAGATTACAGTTTTATTGGTGTTTTCTGGGTTTTTCAAAATTGTTTAACCTTGCTTATTTAGCATACTCTTGTTAGCTATATTCTTGGTTTAGCTGTTATATCCTGATAATTATCTTTCGTTGTATGGCTTAAATATCATCATGTATCATTTTGGTTACTTGGTTCCATCTTCATTCCTTGAGCTAGTTTAGCTGTATGTGCCGTAGAGTCGTAAGACTAGGTAGTTATGACTTCCCCTTACACATCACTATACTTTCCGATTGAATTAATTAGTTTTACTCCCATCGTTGTAACATTAGTGTTAGTTTACCATCAAATTCTATCTTCGTATCAAATTATAAAGTTTAATTATCATCATACAAATAACCTATCTCTTTTCCTTTTCATCCACCATTAAATAAATGATAGATTTTAGGTAAATGTCAATCCATATATTGATAACCAATTTAAAAACAACTACCGGATATACACACTATATTTAGTCTTTACTTTTGGTATTTTATTTTCTGATATTTATGTACTTCATTGTTCGTGGAATCCAGTGCAAATTATAGCGAGCTATTGTTTTATCAGGGTTATCACGAATGCTCTGGTCCCAAGTGTAGTCTCACTATTGCACTCCATTGTATTAAAGCTGATGAAGATTCCTAACAATACTCACCCCGGACACGTAGTTTTTTTAATCAGGAAGTCTGTAAACTATCTCGTTATTATGTTGACGATTCCAATATTTTATTAAACATAAAATATTTGAATAAAGCTGTTCATACTATTCTTATATTCATATTACTTTGAATCAGTGAAAAAGCCTAGTAAAATATTCCAATGAGATTCAGTGTGTATATCATTCATAACAATACAGTACAATATATATTCAGTGTATTTTTCTTCAATATGATTGACAAATATGAAAGTTTTTTTTTAGAATTTCAATTGAGTGTTGCAGCAATAATAGCTAGCATCCTGTTATAGTATCTTTTAGAATTATCGTAATTTGTCATAGAACTACAAAATCATATTTAATTGACTTTCAACAATTTTATCGAACCTATTGTTAATTAATGCATGAATTATTAATTTTCAAAACTCAATTTTACTGTGATAGATTTTTATGTGTGTTAGATGAGTTAGGTACATTAACATTTTCATTTTATTCATTAAAATTTTACAGTAACATTTTAATTAAACTAGATACAACGTAAGTTTCCAACGTACCTTTTGACTGTTCATTATCTTGATGTCTAACATTCACCGGTGAATAGATATGACATCTAAACAAACAACTACACAGAGTTAATGTAATAAATATTTAGTTGTATAATTTAAAACATTTTGGAGAAATATATTTTAATTTTCAATTGTCAATATTGTTTTTGTTATTATTATTATCATTAACGTTGTTAAGGCTCTGGAAGATGAACAAGCTTGTCATGATAAAGCCGCTAGTCGAATGGCTTATTTGAATGCTGTAATCCAACGACTAAAATCTTTAAAATCAGAAAAAACGTCTATACAATTAGGTGAGAAATCAAAAGTTTCATCCAGTCTAACAGCAGTTACACATGCTACAATCCCGAATTCACGCATGTCTGTTTCTTACGATTCAAATAATATTTCTAAGAAAGATGATGCTGAAGAAAAGCTTGACTGTTTGGTTAAAGGTAATTTATTCAGTAATCATCACTATTATGTCTTAATAATACATATTGACATTCAACTGTCACTTATATTTTTCAGTGTTATTTCTTGTCCCTTCTCATAAATACTAAGCATTTCATTATTAGTTGTCGAATGTTTTCTTCTTAGTAGTGCAAGCTGAACTTGGGTTTAATCATTGATATGATATTTTCCTATAGTTTATATTCTAACTATATATCTGACTGAATTCACCCAAACAATCATCAGTGGTTACTTGGATTTAATAAGCTAGTTGATAATCTGTTGTATGGTGAATGAAACCTAGTTTCTAATAATTGTGGTTTACAAACATTGGTCTGGACTTTTTACACTCGAATTGAACACCAAATTAAGTTTGTTTAGATTGCCTGGCAAAAGCAGTATATTTCTCTATCAAGACGTTTATTTTATAGGTAAATTCACAAGCCTGTTTAGATAACTGTAGCTAACATATAGAGAGCTAATAGTCTTTCACGTTTATAGATTATCACATCAGAAGGAATGTAGTAGCATAGTAGCACTCGGCTTTCAAACAGTGGCTTTTCGGTTCACACATCGTTACACGTAACCGCTCAGTATTACCAAACGATACACGAACAGTTTAATTTACATTGGTCTACACAAAGATGATAGAAATAGGTGAATTATAGTTGTTGGTTTACAGGCTTGAACCCTGACTCATGTACTCTGTCAACGGCAAGCCCATATACAACAGAGAATGTAACGTTCACATGGTTTATGAGTTAACTGACTCATCAATATTGATGCCTTCGTTATTATTATTATTGTTGCTATAGTAATAATAATAATATTCATTATTACTAGTGTTATCATCACTGATACCAACATTTCTCACTTGTTACTTTTTCAGTAAATTTAGAATGTTATGAAAGTAAACATTAGTTTCAAATACATTTGCAAAATAAATAAATATAAAACATTCCCATCAATCGTTAGGTATATCTTAGAACGACTACCTTTGACCCACTAAAAAATACTGTATTTCTAAATAAAAATATGCATCTAGAACTTTTACTAACGTCATAGAAGTGGTATTCAGAGACAAGGCAAACAACTACTTCTTTCCATAGCTCCAAAGTGATATATTTGTTGCCTTTGTGCATCAAGATTTTATGTCAGCCAGTCAGTCAGGTACAACGTAGAACGTCGTACGTACATAAGTTCAGGTTGCCGTACCGCATTAGCACAGAGACGCTATTATCAATTCAAATCCCATAGTGGTCGAGGTAGTAGAAGTATTAGCGGTTATGGAGAAGATTAGTGTTCGAAGATATTTTTCTAGAAGTATGATCGAGTGAGATAGAGGTGATGAGGAATACAGAACATTAGGACTTGAGAGAACACAGCAAGTGGATGCACGTGCGCCATCACAAACGATTGTGAGCCATGTCATTCAAGGTCTCTAACTATCGATTAGTATAGACTCGCGGACCCCTACCAGGTAGTCGACAACTACCGACATGACTCAGTCCACTTGTCAATGACTTCATAGATTTGTGCCATGTTTTGGTTTGACCGTCCCTAGCTTTCTTCCAACCTACTCCTACACCACAAAACATAGCTCGTCGAGGCAATCGGTGGTTAGCCATACGTAACACATGTCCCAACCACCTCAACTGATGGAGTTTCAATACTTCATCTATTCATTTGCTATCCCTACCTAGAACTCGTTTCCTAACAACACCGTTGTTTACTAGATTGTCTCAGGATACATGAGCAATGCTTCTCAGACATCTATGATCGAATGCTAGTAACCTACGAATATCTTCTACTCTGACTGGCATCCATATAGTCGAACGGAGCGAACTACTGCGCAGTACACTCGTCCTTTATTCAGCGAACGGATATCTCGCCTACGCTATAAGTGACGCAGGTGGGCAAAAAATAGTCGAGCCTTCTGTATCCGTGCTGAGATTTCGTTAGTCATCAGGCCATCAGCGATGATGAGACTCCCCAGATAAGTGAGGCGGCCAACACGCTCAATTACTTCATTCCTTTTCACTAGTTTATGTGCCGGCGCTTGCTAATCCTGAAGCAACATTTTAAAGTCCGGGGAGGAGAATCGCATCCCGAACATGCTTGTTTTGTTGCTCAGGGTAGTCAAAAGACGCTGCATTTTGACAGCGTCTTCACTGAATAGGACCATGTCATCAGCATACTCTATGTTAGCAAGCGTGTTTCCTGGTAGAAGGTTCACACCTGAAAGGTCAGATGATGGTAATGTTAACTGTAAAAGTATATCTACGACAAATTTAAACAGGAATGGAGAGAGTGGACAGCCCTGACGGACAATACTTAGAGTAAAGAATGTCGATGACGGGTCACCATAAGCTCTCACTCGATCAGTAGTGTTCAAGTAGAGAGTCTGTATAAGGTTAATGTACTTCTTTGGTACACCTTTTAATGACGATACTGCCACAGAACTTCATGATCGACAGAATCGAATCCCGCTTTAAGGTCAAGAAATACTAAAATTTTGAGACGTCTTTGATTGTCACAAGAGGACTTCTGTCCTTTTTTGTAGACCAGGACAATCAGTGATTGAGACTGGTCAGATGGGATTACGCAGATTTCCCAGATTCTACCTAAGATCTCAGTCAATCTAACTGTTAAAACTAGATCACCATCCTTAAAAATCTTAAGGGTAAACCTTTCAGGCCCTGCCGCTCTACCTAGCTTTAGATTTCCTATAGCTTTTCCAACTTCATAAAGACTCGGAGGACTAACATCGATTTGCCATTCAGGATGACTGGAGATCGTGTGCAACCAAAGTGTGGCTGAAGGCCAGTTTAACTGATCCCTGAAGTGTTCTGCCCTTCGATTCAATCTCCTGGATTGAGAATGAATGACACAGACATCCTTTTTGAGATAGTTTCGCAAACAGATGGATTTTTTATACCAGTTTCTTTTATGAGGCGGAACAACTGTCTACTGTTGCCTATTGCCTCTGCCTTTTCCATCTCCTTTGCTTTCGCTAACCACCACTGTTCGCGTCGTTGCGTAGGCTTTTTATCAGCCTGCGCCTAAGCTGACTCCGCTCCTCATCGCACTCGGAGCCAGATGGGATGAGCTTTCGAGCGCCCATCAGTTCGGTAGATGCTACTGAAATCTACGGGTTCTCCCCAACCTCGTGGTTTACCTTTCTAGCAGATATCACTGCTGTTTCTACAGCTTTTTTGATATTATTCCAAGCTACCTCGGGGTGGGCATCATTTACACGGCTACCTAACTTATTTCGAGTTGCTCCTGAAAAACACTTAGCTAAGCTATCACTAACTACAACCCTAAGAGGTTTCCTCGCGTTGTCTTCCCTACGTACAGTTAGTCGCAAACGAATACGCGCCCGCATTAGAGCATGATCTGAATCTTGAAATGTGCCCCAGAACGAGCGACAATCTTCTATCTAACCCCTCCATCGGTGGCTGATGGCGATGTGATCTAGTTTGGTCCAGCGTCGGGGGTCTGCAGGTCAGGAGATGTGTTTCCTCGTGCCTAAAGTTAGTGTTTGCTGAAAATAGGCGGTTATCGGAGCACAGTTTCAATAGACGGTTACCATTATTTGTTCGAAAGCCACTACTATTGTATCAGAGCGCCTCACTTTTTGCAGGAGATCCGAGAGGTTTCTGTAAAACTCATTTTTCACCTCGTCTGATCTTCAGTCAGTAGGAGCGTAGGCAGATACGACGAAGAGGCAACGACGAGTGTCCCTATCCTTTCGAATCCTCACTGTCCCGTGTAGTCGGACGGCACACAAGCGACTATCTACAGGGATTCAGTCAAGGAGAGATTGTTCTGTCCTACGACTCAATGCTATACGTACACCAGCGAGACCACGGGAAGCAATATCAGGGCAGGGCTGCCGGATACACGAAGGGTAAATCGAGTTGCTTCTTTATCTTGACATGTTGAGGTCAAGTGAATGATGCTACTCGGATCCTGTATGCGCGTTTCGGAGACGCAGCACATCGATGGCGCGGGATTCTAAAGTCCTAGCTAATGATGCCTGTTGCCCTATTTGACACAATGTCCGTACATTAAAAGCTCCAACATGTAGTCTAGAACGGGGCTTCAAGAGACCAGGAATAACCTTTCGAGGACTCGAATCCTTTGCAGCAAAGGTACGGGGAGATAAAGGAATGTTAGTAGAGTTAGTTGTGGAGATAAGAGAGGTATGTTTGGGTGTAGGAAGGATTTGATTTCGACCAATTTGGTCTCGTGTGCTGTTACGGCTATGAGGGCGGTTGTCACTTCCCGGCTGCCCACACCGTGGAAGGTGGATTAGAGTTGGTCTTAGAGACCCTTTTTATGAGTATTAGCTCCGCTCTTGAAAGCCCTTAGTGAGCACCCTTACCGCCGGAGACGGAAGTTCTTGAGGTAGGCTGAGGTGTTACATTTTTATGGTCGATTTTTTCTAACCCTTCCTTCCTTGTGAGAACGCAGCATCACTGCAGATGCCGGTTGTTTGAGGGAAACCTTACTGCTGTCACACCTCTATGCAATCAGCAGTACGACTTCTCCCTCAGACCTTGGGTAGCTGTTTTTATTCTCATCGTTCTCCAATCAAGCTCTCTGGCATGTTAGAACCTGCATGAACATGTGTTCCAGCCAATATAGCTTGGTTGGGTCATCACGATAGACGAGCCTGACCATCACGTCAAGGTAGCAGCTGCGGTCAGGAAATTTTTTATATCATAAATTCAAAATAAAAATTGTATGGTTTGTTAATGCCTATAATAATAACATCGTTAAACCACTCACTATTTCCTAAGTATGATCATATTGTGTGATTGCCTCAACAGAAGTTTGTAGAGCAGGATTTGAACCTTAGATATATTTACTGGTCTGAACCCCTGTCCACCAACTTCAATCTAGGCAACCGGGTATTACTCTTACGAATACAGTGTCGTTCATACACAAGCACCTGGCGAATAAATGTCTTTCAAGTATTATTAAACACTGATTTTCTCCCGACATATAAATTTTCATACCTTTAAAGTTCCTACATTTTTCAAAAATAGTTTGTGATATTGTTTACTTGTTTAAAAAAAACCATTTTTCTTTTCTGCAGGACCTCTTCTGTATAGCCAATTAACATCTTACTTATTATCAGAGGAAGATTTGTCAGCAAATGGTTATCCTCTTGAATTGATAGAAAATGACACAGTTGTTCGAGGAAAAGCTGCTCTATGTTTACCAGAAAATAAGCATCAATTATATGGTGATTGTCAGTGTAAGTTATCTAATATATACTTAATCATAATTATCGGTTGGTTGATTTGTTTATTATTCAATTTTTATACATTGTCTGTATATTTCATATGATTTGATGTGTATGATTCTTGCACTTTACAATTTTTTTAGAAAGAATATTGTTAAGTGTTTCATTTTTTCGTACATTGTTCAATAATTGGTTTGGCGTGAACATAAAATAATGTAGTTTATGCATATCGCTGTGGGGAGGCTATAATTTCTGGATGAACTAATCGGATCCAAGATAATAACACATGGGTTTTGGCGCGAAATTTATTCACGCATAAAGCTAAACAGCAACTGAGGATAAACTTTACTGTCGTTTACCATTATGATCCCGTACCGGGCAACCAATCAGAATGAGATGGGAATTATTATCTTCTCTATCGTGATCCATGATGGCCTCCAATTTTCGTTTCTTGTGGTTTTTGCTGATTTATCAGTGTCACAACAGTGTTTGGTGTTTCACCGTGACAGAATATCGTAATTTATGGATGACTGGACGACGCAGAGTTTACCCCTACCCCTTAACAGCATTTTAGTGCTATAGCTGTCTTCAATTCTGTCTCGAATCTGATTCCTCACACTAATTTATAACCCTCTTTAGACCTTAGTGATTAGGCGAGTTCTCTCAAGGTCAAGTTGGTGTCGCTCAAAGGTTGTCCATAAATTATGATCTCGCCTACGTTATATTTTTATGCTTTAATTTAATGTTTTCAAAACACATCATTTCTCAGACGAGGATAAGGTTATTTCTAGGAGCATGTCTATGGTAAAATTAAACAAAACTGGAGAGAGTGGACATCCCTGACAGACACCACTTGAAGTAAAGAATTCCGGTGACAGTTCTCCATAAGCTCTCACTCGACCTGTGGTGTTCGAGTAGAGAGCTTGTATAAGGTTAATGTACTTCTTTGGTACACCTCTCAATGACAGACACTGCCACAGAACCTCACGATCCATTAACTGACTGACTGACATCATTTCTCACGTATTCAAGCTGTTTATTATATCAATATAGGTGAAAGGATTGAGTCCATTTAATTAGATTTCAAGTTAGTATGTCGTAGAATATTTTCTATGTAATGATCGCTTTATTAGTTCGATTAGCGTTAATTATTCGATTATGATCTGTCTGTTGAGCATACTGATTGATACTTTAATAAGCCAATGTCCTGTCTAATAAGCAATAATAATAATAATAATCAAATTCTATCGACTTCGCACTGTGGTATTTGAGTTAAATAACCCAATAATCCTGATACAGTTTGCCTTGATGGTTAAATAGGATCTGCTCTTTTTCTAATTTAGATTTTTTTTGCAGTTGATTGTCATCAACATGGTATATCTGAGTTGTTAAGAGAATTGTTTATATCTTTGAGATTTGGACTTGTTTATACAGTACCTATAGGCAAAGGTATTTCCATGAAATTTCTAGTGTAAATATTATTTCCCTCAAAATTGTAGATACGTTTCACTAATTCATGTACATACAGTAAAAAAACGTAATCCAAGGTTTCCCCGGTGATTGCATTCAACTACTAACATACTGATCATTATTAATTCTAGACAATTATATTTCTCAACTATTTTATTATTTGAGAATCAAATTTGATAATTGTATACAATAGATAATTTATAGTTATTCATGGTTATTCAGTTAAGAGAGTGGTAGAGATAAGAAAAAAAGTGAAAAAGTTTCACATGGACCCCTTTTAATCTGATAGAGATTTTAAAGTGTAACTCATTTATCAAGTAATAGTTTATGTACTCAACTTAGACGTACACTAATTCTATAAAGGTTAATGATGCAACCCAACCCACTTGGAACCTAGGACCTATTGGTTAGAACCCAAACGTGTTTAACCACTAGTCCATTGCTACACACATTTGACTTCATTTCTCAGGATTAGTTTTCAGTTATTAAATTACCAATTCTAAAACAAAACATTTCCATAAAAATTAAATTTCATTTCTACCAACATCATCAAATCAACTTGTTCCAAATAAGATTATAAATAATAATTAACATATTCACAGATGAAAATTAGTTTTAATCCATGAAAAGATGTAACGCTTATCGACTTGTTCAAAATCGTTTAAAGTTGATTTCTAAAAATCCTGAATTATGCCACACAAGATAAATTTTTATTTGGTCTCATAAAACTTTAATTTTGTGAGCAAAACGTTTTCAGTTTTTTTTCAAATAAATTTTCGATAGTTTTGAGTAACTATAAAACGTTTTCGTTTTAATTTTATAGCTAACGAACGAGTGTGTTGTCGTTGTGGTACACGATTTCTTGTTGATGAATATGGTTACTCCTTAACTAAAGGTGAATGCGTCTACCATTGGGGTAAAGCTGTGAAACAGCGAAGTAAGTAGTGAAGGATATATATCAATTTTTAACTACTGCTTAGTTTAGAGTTTAGCTTAATATTCTAATCTGGTATTATTGATCCGTTGAAAGTAAATTTCCAGGCACCAAGCAATCCATTTTTTTTATAACTTGACGAATATGTAGTATTTGTTTATCACTAATGGAGTAGATACACCTTAATTCTGTGTTTGGTCACGTAGGATTGAATAGTGTAATTTTTGTTAGTATAACTCGACTGTATTGTCAAATTCTTTACTTGTAATTTGAAGCTTGCACATTTTATCGACCTGCATTTTGAAATAATTAAAAATTTCAGTACATCATAAACAATAGACTGTCTTATCAGTTTATCCCGATAATTATGATTTTTGTTTTCTATATTACATTTTTGAATTAGTTGTTGAGAAACTGAATGAATTTGATTATGACCGATTTGGTCTCGTGTGCTTTTACGAGTATGAGGGTGGATGTTGCTTCTGGGCTGCCCACACCGTGGAAGGGTTCTTGTCATAATGGTCATCAGCCTCGTGACATCCGGAGGGATTCGACTTTCACCATGAGACGTCATTACTCTTCTGAAAGAAGACCTTCTAACTCCCAGGGCAGAGTTTAAATGGTTTGAATTATGTTTTCTGGTTAGTGTTTTTTTTAGCGAATTGGTGTTCTTTGGGGTGGGGTCGCGAAATCCAACCCTCCTCCCTTAACTGGGCTTGGGACCGGCAGTAGCCCCGAAGGGGCGACAGGTGGATTTCGAGAAACTGAATTCTTAATATTCATAATTACATCAGGTGATATGGTTTAAAATAGCTCTCCCAATTAACAAATGGTAAATACGTGTGTAACCAATACTGGCCTAGGTGTTTTAGTATTATCTACCTTCAATTAATACCAAATTTTTGTTGCATTCTACTTGCATCACTACTGTACATACAATATAAAGTTTGAGACGTGTATAGATTTAGGAATATATTCACTCCTTTATCATTCTTCTTTTTATATGTTGTTCCATATTTTATAGTCTGATAATAGTAAAAGTCACGGGTTATTTGTATTAACTACCGAAATGCTGCTTGAGCATTTCGCATTGCGATCTTCAAGAAACTATATATATATATATATATATATATATATATATATATATATATATATATATATATATATATCAGTTAAGTTGAATCTGCAATGGAGAACCTTTTTATATGAACGGATAGTTTAAATATGTACATAAAATAGGCTAGGTTAGGTTATCGATCTGTGTTCTAGTTTTTAATGCTGTTACGTAATCGAGCGTTTGATGGGTCATTTTTCAGTTCATTTAGTGAATAACTTCTTACATACATAGTGTACATACATACAATAGTGTTAGTTTACCTAATTATTTCATTTCAAGCATCTAAAGATATCGACATGCGCCTATTATGAACGGGTTGGTGTATAATTTATGTGAACACCCTAATGTATGTTTATATCAAATGAATAAGTTGATCAAATTTAATTTGTCACATTATAATGTGAAACTAAGAGCAGAAGAAAAACGATGTCAATAATTCCCCTATAATGAACAACTTTGAGTAATTTTATGTGACCAATTTTGCAAATATCTCTTAATTTTCATCTTTATTTTTAAGTTGATTAAGTTTGTAGCTGTTAAGTTGGATTAGCTTTTCGAAATGTATGCAAATAGTTCAATCTATTATTACTGATTGGGATTAGTTTATGATTAACCATAAACTAATTGACAATTGGTGTGAATATATCAGTTTTCATATAAGTAGATTTATCATTGTTTGAATATCGATTTCAGCCAAGTAAATAAGCAACAATGAATGATTATTTCAATCCAATAATTACAACTTCAATTGATTAAAAATTAATCTAAATTTATCCAACTATTTAATGTTTAACAGCGTAATTTGTACATTTACTCTGTGATTACTTCTGACAGTTCTATCTTCGATTAAGTAGTAATACAGGTACCTGAGGTTGAAACTGATAACTCGACATTTGCTATGAATTGTCGTAGTTGATATTAGCCGTACATCACGATGAAAAAATGGTTTGTTAATATGCATTAATGCATTTCTGTATAATTGATTATTCTGACAGGCTATTGTTATGTTTTTCAATCACGCTCACATTGTGTTCACCAACCCTAAGTGACATCTGATATACTTGCTTGTAACGGATAAGGTGATCTTATTCCACATTTATAACAATATAAAATAGAGGGGACCACGAATGTATAAACAGGCTCATTGCCGAGAGCTTTAACAACTCATTGAATTGATATTTTTCCGACGGCGTTCCACCAACAGCGTCTTAAGAACTGATGGAAAGAATACTGAAAATCGGCTTATATTCCTGTCATTTCCAGGCATTTCCGAAAACCGCATCACTGAAACTATCGAATAAATTTACTTTTAAATAAAGCCACAAGATGTGCAACGGCAACAGACTTGATTGCCTAAACTTTGTTAAACAAACGAACTAACGATTGACAAGAAGTGTCTATCGCAAGATTAGGTTAACTTACTTACTTTACTTACGCCTGCTACCCCAAATGGAACATAGGCCGCCCACCAGTTTTCTCCAACAAACTCTGTGTTACGGGAGAAACGAAGACATTTTGCTGATCAAACCTTTATATATATAATCATTAATTTCACTGTTTTTTGGGTATATTTGTTTTACTTAACTTATGAACTTGTTTGAATTATTTTTGCGGACATTTTTGGACTCCCGTTTCTCTTGGTTGTTCGTTTGCAGTTTTTTGCTCCAAGAGCAATAAATTAGAAGGTAATTGTAATTATTATAATTATTGTTGTTAGAACGACATTGGTCGTCTATTTGTAATAAGTATTTTGGTCGAATTTGTGATTTGGAATAAACTTTGGTATCTACTTTGGAGTTTCGTTCTTGGTTTAAAATTTGGGACGTGAATTACAAATAGTTCGACAACCGTGCTTCGTAGATCAACGGCAAAAAACTGGACGTAACAAAAGTTCTTCTAATTTAAATTTGTCATATATTGGATTTTTTGGTCGTTTGGCTCCAGAGGTTCTTCAATTCAAATTTTGGTCGTTGGAAACTTTTGGAAATTTGGGTCCAAAAGTTCTTCTAACTTTTAATTTGGTCGTTGGATACTTTGGACAATTCAATTTTGGTTCTTTGGTTATATTTTGGATACTTTTGGACATTTTGTTATTATTGGCCGAATACGTTTGGATTAATTTCACATTTGCTTGGTAATCGATTTCGAATAAAAACATACAATGGAAACTAGAAGCAAAAGGCTGAAGGAGCAGGACGAAATGGATGGTAAATTTTCTAAAGCTGTTTGTGGTATGTCTGATGTTAATGATGATAAACTTGATGATATTAGTGTTAATAGTAAGTCTTCATCTCAGTTTAGTACTTCTAGATTGAAGTTAGATAAGGCATTAATTAAGAAGAAGAATTTGGAAAAGAGACTTGAGTTAGAAAAGCAGCTTAAAATGTTAGAGCTTCAAGAGGAAGTTGATATGGCTGAATTAGAATGTAAGCTCATAGAAAACGATAACCAACTGTCAGTAGACAAAGCTGAGATAAATTCTAAGGTCGAAAGGTATTTGGATTGTGATATTGCGCGTAATAAGGTAATTAACGCCTCAAAATGCGATTGTATTGATGAATTAAAGGACACGTTACGTGCTACGGTTAATAATACAGTTTTGCCTAAAATCGATATGATGTTTTTTGACGGACAACCAAGCCAGTACCACCGTTTTATTAGTCAGTTTACAAGCATTATAGAGAGTAAACTGTCTGACAAGGGCCAGTTGTTGTCATATTTGTCATACTATTGTAAAGGAAAGGCCAGAATGGCTATTGAAGCTTGTATTTCTTTGCCCAGTCACTTGGGTTACGATAGGGCTAAGGAAATTTTGTATGATTTGTTTGGTAAAGAACATCTTGTCGCCCGTAATCTTATTACCGAATTACTTAGCCACAAATCTGTTGAAGGATCCGCCGATAGCCTAACTGACTTCGCAATTAAGTTACGTAATGTATGTATAACATTGAAGGAAATGGGGTATATGTCTGATGTGAATTCTACGGCTAATTTGGAAATAATTGTGTCACGTTTACCCTTGGAATTACAGAATAAATGGGTAGAAGCTGCTGATAGGATTATGATGACCGGTAGAGAGCCGATATTTGAAGAATTAGTGATGTTTGTAGAAGAAAGAGCCAGGATTGCGCGATCACGTTTTGGTAGATTGGTACATTGTAACTCAAAGTTCCGTAAAGGTAATTATGAAGGCCAAGTTGACAAGAGATCACGCTTTAATGTAGTTAAGAGGGAACCAAGCAACTCATTCAAGGCTTTAAGTTGCGAAATTTGTTTTGGTGATCACAAGGAGAAAGACTGTATGAAGTTATCAAAAATGAATGTTACAGAGAGGAGGCAGGAAGTGAGAAAGCGTGGTCTATGTTACTTGTGTTTAAGGAAGGGTCACATAGCCAAGTCGTGTAACTCAGACACAAGGTGTGACGTTGATAATTGCAAGATTCGGCATAATCCATTATTGCATATTGATGCTTCTAACAAACATGTAGTGAATTTTGCTAAGGATTGGAAATTCCCAAAGGTTTGTTTGGGTATCGTTCCGGTTAGACTATATGGCCCCAAAGGATGTCTGGAAACATACGCTCTTCTAGACAATGGTTCAGATACCTCTATTGTATGCGAAGAGTTAGTTAATCGGTTAGGTCTCAAAGGTAAGGAGACTTCAATAAAGGTGACGACTGTGAATGGAACTTCTACTTGTGAATGTCTGGAAGTGAATTTAGAGGTATTTTCATTAGATGAGCGGGGTTCTATAAAGATCAACAAGGCCTATACGACCAAGAAACTTCCGATCGATTATGCAGAGCCTTTAACCGAACTGCAGCTGAGAAAGTGGAAACATTTAAGGGACATAACTCTACCGAGGCTGCAAAGTAATCTAGTAGGA